TCAACACTAAGGAGACACTTTAGAATTTAAGAATTTTTAAATGTAGAATTTAAAAATTCCTATAAAGAAAATCTCAGACTCAAGTGAATTCTACCAAACATTTAGAGAGAAGCAATCTAAAACTTCCAAAGCATTTTTTTTCTTTCTTTCTTTGGACAAGTAGATGTGAAAAGAGTATCTTCCAACTAATTTTTTTACAACTATTACTCTAACAAGAAACACCTAAGAAAAACATCATACACACCACCACCAACCTAGAGAACAATGTCTTTTATGAGTATAGATGCAAAAACTTCAGCAAAAATCCCAGCAAACTGAAATGTACAGCACCTAAAAAGAATCGCATACTATAATCAAGTTAGGTTGATCCCAGGAAAGCAAGGTTTACCATTCAAAAATCAATGTACTAGACCATTATCAATAAAATAAAGAGGGGGGGGGTGGGACACCCTACACAGTCATCTCAGAAACACACACACACATAGAATACACACAAGACAGAATCCAATAGCTTTTCATAATAAAAATATTCAAAAAATTAGGGATAAGAAAGGAACTTATTCAACCTCATAAAGGTCATCTTTGAAAAATCCACAGTTACTATCACTTAGCGGGGCTCAGTGGCGTGTGCCTGTAGTCCCAGAGGCTGAGGCAGGATTAAAGCCAGCCTCAGCAATGGCAAGGTRCTAAGCAACTCAGTGAGACCCTGTCTCTAAATAAAATACAAAACAGGGCTGGGGATGGGGCTCAGTGGTTGAGTGCCCCTGAATTCAATCCCTGGTATCTGCCCACCCCCAAATTATTGTAAATGGAATTCTTTTCTTGTTTGTTTAGTGCCTCGCAATTGCTGAGGGTGGCTTTGAACTCGAAATCCTCCTGGCTAAGCCTACCAAGCTGCTGGAATTATCGGCATGCACCACTGCACCTGGCCCTAAAAATATTTCTAAAAAAATTTTTGCACAACTGTCTAGAAACTGAAAAACAGCCACCACAATTCACAGACTGGGAAATGGTATTTACAAATCATAGACCCGATGAGGTCTAATATTCTGAATAGTCTAATATTCAGAATTGATAACTCATAACAAAATAAATAGATAAATGAATAAATGACTTGATCAGCTATTTTTCCAAAGAAGCTATGCATGATACAATAAGCATCTAGAAAGTTGTTCAACATCAGGAGTCACTGTGGAAACTGTTAAGACTACCATGAGATTCTACTCTGTTCCCACTAGCAAAAATCTGAAATAAAAACGATAGTAAGTGTCCGCAAGCATGAGGAAAAACCAGAATCCCGTACATTGCCAGCAGATGTGTAAAATCCTGAAGCCACTTTGAAAAAACAGTTTGACAGTTCTTCGGTCACACCTAGAGCTACCACAGGACCCAAAGATTCCCTTCCCAGGTGCAATCCCAAGAGAATTCACATAACTAGTGCATGAATGTTCACACCAACATTAATCATAAAATCCCCAAAGTAAGCACCATCAAATATCCGCCATCTGATGCATGGATGAAACAAAACCTATATCCATACAGCAGGATGTCACTGAGTCACAGAAAAGGGACTGATGCTTTAAAACTATGCTCAGGGGCTGGGGCTGGGGCTGGGGCTGAGCAGTAGAGCACTCACCTAGCACGTGTGAGGCACTGGGTTTGATCCTCAGCACCACATAAACAAATAAAATAAAGGTGTTATGCCCAACTATACCTGGAAAAGTATTAAAAATAAAACTATGCTCAGGGGTGGGGACAGCTCGGGCCCCAGATCCAGTCCCCCCACTGGGGGAGAAGACCCGGCAAAGTGAGAAAAGGAGAGGTCCTCAGGCTGCGTGCCGTCCGCTGGCATTCATGTTAACTGTCCAGAGCAGGCAGGTCACTCATACCCCAGGACTAGTGACCGCCACGGCTGGCGGCCAGGCGCAGAGGGAGCGCCTGCTAAGGCGTGGGGTTGTGGTTTCTTTCAGAGGTGACGAAAATGTTATAAGTCAGTGATGACACACATTTTGAAGACTCTAAATCCAAAGTTCACGTTTTTAAAGAGACACGTTTTTATGACATGTAAAAATTCATAATATACACACACACACACACACACACACACACACACACACTTTACTGAGCAACAATTTCCACCTACGCTGCAGCTCGCCCATTTCAAGTTCACAACTGAATGGTCTGTGGTGTGTTCACGAGGAGGTGTCGTCATGACCACGGTCAGTTTTAAGACATCTTTGTCACCTCATGGAGAAGCACTTTGTAGCTACTCCTCTTCTCCCTCCCCCTCTCCCCAGGCTGGAGCACCTCCCAGGGCACTTCCCGCCTCCACAGATCTCCCTGTCCTGGGAGTTCCCTGGGCCTGGGTCGTAGAATCTGCGGTCCTTTGTCACTGACCACTTTCCCTTAGCTTATCATTTTCAAAGTTCATCCAGGCTGTGGGAGGGACGGGACAGGTGGCATTTTATGGCCTGATAATCCTGCAATGTCTGGCTATGCCACCTTCCTCTATTCATCCATCAACTGGTGGGCACTCGGGCTCCCATTTCTCGGCTATTATAAACAGCGCTGCTGTGAACACACGGGTGGTGCTCATGACTGTTTAAATGAGGGACTGCGAAGGCTGTCTTCCAGAGGAACGGCCCATCTTGTACTCCCCCCAGCAGTGGGGGCGGGGGCTTCAGGTGCGTCCCCTCACTTGTCAGCGCTGGCTCCCACCTGGCTCCACCTGCCATCTTAGAGGGTGTGAGCTGGTCATGCTTTCAATTTTTTGTTTTTGTTTTTTTAAAGGCGTGGGAGAGCGTACAGAGCTGGAAACTTTGATCTCCTGACAAGTGTTTTCATGATTCCCATTAACACCAGATGGTTGGGGTATTTTTTGGAGAGAGGGTGGGGGGAAGCCCGAGCTGAATCGAGGGGGTGGGCCTGAGAGAGAGGAGATCAACCACCACTGCAATCCAGAGTCTGCCAGTGCCCGAGGTCAGAGGCTGCTGCAGAAGTCCTCCCTGGATGGTCCGAGGGAAAGGCTGCCCTGAGGCAGGAGCGGGAGGAAGTGGCAGACAGCCTGGCTCCAGGGAGCTGTGGAAAGAGATCAGTGGTCCAGTGCTGCCTGAGCAATGGGCGATGAACCACGGACCGCACAGCCATTCCGTGCCTAGGGAGCGGGACCAGGGCACAGCCTGGGACCCCAGCAGAAGGCCCCTAAGAAGGACCGGCACCGTCTGGAGGTCTGCTACCACGTTCTCCATGCTTACTTCTCCCGGGTCTGAACCAGGCGGGAGGTGGCCAGCAGGCCCACACTCAGCAGGGGTTCGTCCCAGTGGGGTGAAGGGTGAACACGTGGATGGAGGGCAGTCCTCTTTCACCCCCAGCAGGGAAATGGCTACTGTCAGGGCCAAAAGTAGGTCACAGACGTGGCCCAGCAGAACCCCTGCACTGCTAGGTGGGCTTCCGGTTAGGACTGTCCCAGCCAGGATCTGGCAGCAGGAGGGATGTGCACACGCCCAGCAGGGCCTGATGGTTGTGGCATCCTGTCCCCTCTTGTGCTCCAAGCAAACGCCAGGAACAACTCAAAATCCATCTCAATCTTTGCCTCCGTGTTCGTGGCCAAGAGGCTGCGCCATTCCTGTCTGGGCTAGCGTGTGCGTGTGTGCGTGTGTGTGTGTGTGTGTGTGTGTGTGTGTGTGTGCACACGCGCGCACGCAGCTGTTCAGCATTTTCTGTACTCTTTGCAACCACACTTGGATCCTGAGCACTCCTGGTCAAAAAAAAGATGACATTCTAACAACCAGAAGGAAGGAGGCATCTCTAGCCACCCCTGCAGATTTCAGGGTTTGGAGAATCAGCCACAGTGCACGGGAACCCGGAGGGACTGCTTTTACTAGAGCCAATGTTCTCCCAAGACCGTCCTTCCTTCCTGCGGTGGGACATCATATGGTGCGTCAATTCCCAGCGACCCCAGGGCCCCAGATCTCTCCCGAAACATCTTCCTGTGACTGATTATTCTGGCTGTCACGGAGCCCCTGCAGGCTGTCCTCTGATTAGACGCACATACTCCAAGCGTCCCAGGAGGCACCTCGTGGTAAATGCCGGGTGTGGTTTCAGCAGGAAGTAAATGGCACCCAGGGGCCGATCTGCAGCCGTGGGCTGGGATCCCCGGGATCACAGCAATGACCCCCACAAGCAGGAGGCCCCACCTGGCCTCTTCGCCCTTCGTGAAAAAAAAAAATAATCTTCACGAGGTCTTACCACACACGAAGCTCTCCAACGGAACTGAGAAAATGCTCTGGCCCTTCAGTGACTCTGGGTGGGCACAGGTGGCTGTCACAAAGGCCTGCAGTGTCCTGCTCTCGAGCCATGGAGGCAGCCACTTGAGCTGGCAGTCACACAGGAAGCTGTCACTGCTGATGTGGCTGAAAGAAAGAAAAGGACACTGAGCGTGGGTCACACGGAACAGGGCAGCTTTAACAGAAGGGGACATTGGTCGCCACCCACAGCGCGTGACGCCAACACCCRCCAGCTGACTGGGAGATGCCTTCCCCACAGTTTGCTCCTCTCTGTTGGAGGAACAGCACCTAGAACCGACCTGGAGATTTGCACCAAGTGCAGCTTCTGATGGAGTCCATCAGGATGGAGCCCAACTGTGCCCTCCTACCGAGCTTGGGGGGGGGGGGGCTGAACTTGGCCCTTGTTCTCAGACTCTGTTCCTGTTACCTTGGGGATGCCTTCTCACCTTTTCCTGACCTTGGATACCCTACAGTGGCAAGAGCACTTTCCTGATAAATTCCAAACTCCGTCCCCAGCCCTGGGACTTTGATCTCAACTCTCCAACAAGTTCTAAGAAGTCTTCTCTCTTCTTTTATGGCTGCTACTTTTTGACKGGCCAAGCTGGGTTCAGGGATTGAACCCAGAGGCACTTAAGCACCGAGCCACATCRSCAGCCCTTTTTATTTTTTTTATTTAAAGACAGGGTCTCACTGAGTTGCTTAGGGCCTTGCTGTTGCTGAGGCTGGCTTTGAACTCGTGATCCTCCTGCCTCAGCCTCCTGAGCTGCTGGGATGACAGAGAGCACCACCCCACCTGGCAAAGCTGCATGTTTTCTTGCTTCTGAATGTCAGCCTCCCAGCCACACATCCCGCCCGCCTGCCCCTCTCTCTACACCAGCGTCGCTCAGGAGGTCGGGAGAATGCAGCCCTGCTCCCTAAATAGTGCTCATTAGTTAACTGCCTCTGCCCAGGGAGCAGAAGAACGTTCAACTTGGGTTTTGTGAGCCTCCAACCAAAACAGAGGATATTTTCTTTTTCATTTCTCAGCAACTGAGGATAAGCTTTTCAAACAGAAATCAGAATGGCCATCGGAGCAGACATTCCTTCCTGAGGAGTCACACACCAAGATAAGTCACCCGGAGAGTCTAGCTGCCCTGGTCCTGTGAGAGCCCAGGACTGAGCTGAAGAGCAGTGGCCAACCTATGAGAAGGGCAGACACAAAGACACGTGGCTTCCATGTCATGTCCCTGACACTCAGTGACAGAAAGGGGCACAGTAAGCCTAGGAAATCCACACACGTGGTGCTGGCCAACGGTCCAGCCTGTTCTTCCAGCTGCTGCATCCCTCAGACCCACAAAACCACCACAGGGACTGGCTTTCTGTTCTCTTTCACTCTGAATGTGGTTTTGTTTGTTTGTTAGTTTGTTACTGGGGATTGAACTCAGGGACACTCGACCCCTGAGCCACATCCCCAGCCCTAGTTTGTATTTTATTTAGAGGCAGGGTCTCACTGAGTTGCTTAGGGCCTCGCTAAGTTGATGAGGCTGGCTTGGAACTCCCGATCCTCCTGTCTCAGTCTCCAGAGCTGCTGGGATTATAGGCCTGGGCCACAGCGCCTGGCCCGCCCCCAGTCCTTTTTATATTTTATTTAGAGATAGAGTCTTGCTGAGTTGCTCAGGGCCTCACTAAGTGGTTGAGGCTGGCTTTGAACTCGCAATCCTCCTGTCTCAGCCTCCCAAGGACTTCCAATGAGCAAAGAAAGTGTCAAACTAACAAACAGCGAGGAAGAGTGAACAACTCGTTTCCTCATCATTCCCAGAGGTAAGGTCACAAAGTACTTCTCTGAAAACCACAATGATTTATCTTAAAGCCATTATAATAGGGAGGCCAGGCCCAGGGCAGACCGTAGAGTAGGCCTGAGGCTTAGGCAGCTGACTTTCTGTGTCCTGCTAAGGAGTTACTCTAGGGGTGGCAGGGCAGCTGATGAACAGAAATGGCCCACCTCAACTCCTGTGCAGGGAGGAGGGTGTCCCAGGCACAGCTCCTGTGACTGGCTCACGGCGCCAGGACCTCACCCTCCTGGTGAAGAGCCAGCGGGAACTCCCACTGTCAGAATCTCCTCGGGCTCAACCCCCAGGGCACTTCTGCAGTTCCCGAGGGCACTGCGTTGGAAAGCCCGCAGGCAGAGCCCGGGCCAGGGCTCAGGACGGCCTGGCCACACCACCCCATAAGTTAGAGACAAAGGCCCGGCTGACTGGAAAGAGGGGACCGTGAGCTGCCCGGCCTCCGCTGACTCCTGCCCGTCTTCAGCACTCGGGCAAAGCTCAGCCTCCGCAGCTGCCAACAAACACGGCCCCCCTGGCTCCCGCCTCCAGCCACCCCAATACTTTGCTGGCTAAGAGTGTGCATTTTCATGACTCCAACTCAAAGTGTGTTTCCAATCATCCCGGGTGGAAATTTACCCAGAGGGCCACAAAGTGCACACCACAACCTGCCTTGAACCCTGGGGAAGAAAAAACCAACAGGAATTAACCCTCCGGGCCCTTGAGAGGATGGGCCCAGGCCAGCCCCAGCTGGGAACCCAGGCGGGGGACCAAGGCTCAGCCAGAGCCAGGCAGAGTGGGGTTTTGTTGTTTTTGTTTTTTTTTTTCTTTGCGAGGTGGGGGTGGGGGCTGGGCTGCCTAAGCTTCTAAAGGGTTCCGTTCTTCCCAACTAGACAATAGTCTCTCCTAAGAACCTAAAAGAAGAATCTCTCTCCTTTTTTTCCTTCTTTCTCCCCAAATACCCTTTTCCCATTTCATCAGATCTTTTGGACTCCTGACACATTTGGAAGTTTCATGGAGAGAAAAGTTGTTAAGAACTGCACACATCATGCTCACCCATCCCAGGAGATCTGGATTTTTTTTTGGGGGGGGGCGGGGGATTAAACCAGGGGCGCTTAACCACGAAGCCACATCCCCAGCCCTTTTTATTTATTTTTTCTTTATTYAGAGACAGGGTCTCCACGAGTTGCTGAGGACCTCACTAAGTGGCTGAGGCTGGCTTTGAACTCACGATCCTCCTGCCTCAGCCTCCCGAGCCACAGGGATCTTTTATAACCGACATCGCCCTCGACTTGCTTTTTCAGGATCCAGCCCCACATCCGGTGTGGAATCACCTGTCAGGAAGGGGAGCTGGGGGATCCGTTCTTCAGATTCTGTCTCACCCAGATGGACGAGAGAAGAGTGGCCATGGATGGAAGTAGGGAAGGAGCCCAGAAGGCTCCCTCCCTGTGTGGCTCTCCACACAGCCCTGCGGCCCCAGTGAGCGCGCCGTGAGCTCCCACCTGGAGGTTCCTGACCCTCCTCGGCAGGAGCACCCTCGAGTTCCCCAGCACAAGCTCTTCGTGGGACAGAGGAATGCGGCCTGCCCCCTTGGGCTCTCAACCATTCCTACCCTCCCCGCCCCAATCAAGGGTCCACCTGGAGTGGCCTCAGGACTGGGATGAAGTCAGGGCACCATGATGACCACCCTCTGGCCTCTGGCATCGAGTAGGCACGTCTCAGAATGCTCGCTCGGTGAGACCTGCCGGGGACTGACATTACGGATGGCACTGACTGGCCACAGAATCAGGGGCGTGTGGGAGTGGGAAAGGAGGGGAGGCCGTCGCTCTGCCTGGGCCACGATGGTGGGGAGCTCCTCTAGCCCCGGTCAGTCACGTGGCACCCCACCTCTGAGCATCCATCAGTGCCCCTGCTGCTCGAACCCACCCGGCTCCCTCGAGAAGCCCTTCTCCATGCGGCCTTTTCCCGTTAAGCCAACCCAAGTGAGCAGAACGTGTCCCTGGGGTAACTAAAGGGGTGGTCACCCACTTTTTAGAAAAGAATGTACCTGACGTTACACAGAACAGCTGTTAGCACACCACAGCCTGCAGGCTGCTGCTGCTTGTGGTACAAATTCAATGGCACACAGCCACACCTGTTCCCTTATGTATTATTTATGGCTGCTTTCTGCTTTCACAACCTCGCCAAGGAGTTTCTACACAGACCCTGTGGCCCAGGGTCCAAAATACTCACGACATCACCCTTGAAGAAAAAGATTGTCGCTGGGTGTGCTGGTGCACACCTGGGATACCAGCAACTCTGGAGGCTGAGTCAGGAGGATCTCAAGTTTGAGGCCAGAACTTGTTTTGTTTGCTTGGGGCAGGGGGTTGCCCTAGCTTCTAAAAAGGTTCAGTTCTTCCTTAGTAATACCTGTTTCAAAAAAGGGCTAGTGATGTGGCTCAATGGTGGCACACCCCTGAGTTCCATCCTCAGTACTGCCCCACCAAAAAAAAAAAAAAAAAAAGGTATTTCTACCTATTGATCCCAAGTAAGCACCACTTCCTTTGGGGGTGCAGGGGGGAACTGGGGATTGAAATTGAACCTTGGGACACTTAAGCACTGAGCCACATCCCCAGCCCTTTTAATTTTTTTTTTTATTTAGAGACAGGGTCTCACTGAGTTGCTTAGAGCCTCAATAAGTTGCTGAGGCTGGCTTTGAACTTGCCATCCTCCTGCCTCCGCCTCCTGAGCGGCTAGGATAATAGGCGTGTGTCACCAAACCAGCTTCCACATAGTTTTTTTTTTTTTTTTGAAGAACAGTTTGACTTACATCTACCCATAAACAACCATAGCCACTAGATAAAGTGAGCGTAAAGCAATGACAAGGGTTGGTGACTCTGGAAGTTCTTCCTCATGTTCACGAGGGCCCCAGGAAGCCCCGGTACTTACAGCTCCTTAAGATTCCTCATCTTGATGAAGGTGTCCAGCTGCACAGAGCTGATGGCACGCTCTTCCAGGTCCCTGAAACACAACACAAGGACTTGTGCCAAGAAGCCCCGGGTGCCCTTCCAGCCAGCCCCRTGTCTGAGCCAGGAGACGMGGCGGTTTTCYGTGACAGCCTTGGTTTTYGGTGACCCACAGGTGATAACTCCACAGGAGGTGGCTCTCGCACGTGTTGACACAGCAYGTGCGGTGACACGGGGACCCAGCCTGTCTGAGGGGCAGCGCAGAGGYGGGTGCAGGCCTGCTCAGCTAGTCAACGGCCACAGGCTCTCCCAGCAGAACCRGGGCTGAACTTGGTGCCAAGAGGAAACAGATCATGCCCACCCCCTGGAGGGAGCGACCCCAGAAGGATGTGACGGTCTCAGGGCTGGCTGGTYCCCTTCCTCCCAGGGCCAGCCAGAGACGCTCCTAGTGGGGTGGGGTATGCGTCACTCTGCTGGCTGGCCTAGCRGGGGTGGCGAGGAGACCAGGCCCCRGGGAGGAGCGGGGGCAGCGGCGACACACAGGGCAGTGGAGGGAGGAAGCTACTGTCCGCACACCAGCTGCATTCATGGAGCACACCAACTGGCCATGTGTTCTGGGACTGCTCTGGCACAGGCAAGATAAGGGCCAGCGCTGAAGCAGCTGCCGCTTCTAAACGGCCTGTTTCTCGGTTTACAAAGATGCCATTCAATCCTAGCCGACTTCGCCGTGGCCGCCCTTGGCAGGCCTTCGGGTCAGGCAGGGTCTGCCGAGATACTCACAGGTGCTCCAGGCCTTCCAGCCCCGAGAACGCTCTCTTAGCCACGGACTTGATCTTGTTCCCGAACAGAGTCCTGCAGATTCCAAACATCCAGAAAGAGACAGGGTGGGGGACAAGGGGGGAGAAAGAACACACGGTCAGCCTGTCTGGTGAGAGGCAGGGGAAGCAGACCTGCGCTGAGATCCCAGGGCGGACACACACAGCCCTGCTCCTTCTGAGAGGAACCGCTTTTCCCTCTATTGGAATTCAGGAGCAATGACAGGCTGAAGGGGCACGCACTTTAGGGCCTACAAAGGCCCCCTGCAGATTCCATCTCACTCCGGTCAGAACGGCGATCATTAAGAATACAACTAACAATAAGKGTTGGTGAGGATGTGGGGAAAAGGCACACTCAGACATGGCTGGTGGGACTGCAAATTGGTGCAACCACTCTGGAAAGCAGTCT